ATATATATATATATATATATATAATGCAATAAGATCACAGTAAACAGGTGATTTCAGAATATGCAAAACAACCATTCTGAAAGAATAGAGAAATTCCAAGCGCTTTCGTGACTACTCACATTATCAAGGAACTATGAAAGTAAAGCATCCAAGGAAGGTATATAAGGGGTCTGGGCAACACCTCACTATCAGATCCCACAACAGTTAAACACCTGACGCGCGCCGGCCCAACTGGACAGGTCTTTTGCACAACCCACCAACAAACTATTCTACCCAAGAAAATTTTTAAAATTATTATTTGTCCAGTGTATTATTAAATTCTTCCCAAATTCTATTAATTATAAATGGATCTAATTTATATAAACCAAAAGAAATATTCATATTATTGTCAAAACTGCTTTTTATGAAACAAGATTCAATTATATTCCTGTCGACCATGGACTTGCTTGATACTACTTTCTCAACTTTTTGAAAATCAATTGGATGGTTAAAATCTCTTACATGAATAAATAGAGCATTGGAATCTTGTCCAGTTCTAATGCTATATTTATGTTGTTTTAATCTTAGTTCGAGATTTTTACCAGTTTGACCGTAATAAACTTTATCGCAAATTTTACAAGGAATCTTACAGACACATCCATCAGCATTTTGGGGGGAATTCTTTATCAAAAGTTTTTTTTACTGTATCAAGATTTTTGAATACAACTTTAATATTAAAAGTCTTAAGAAGAGAAGGCATATCAACCAAGTTTTCATGGTAACGGAGGACCAACATATTTTTAGTTGAATAAGGCTGGTTGTCCCTTTTTGGATTGTAAAAAGTATTTCTAGCAACTTTAAAAGATTTATCAATTACATTTCTTGGGTATTTTAAATCATTACCTATTTCATAAATTTTGGATATTTCCTCATCTATGAACTCTATTCTTTCAGAGTGGTTGTTTTGCATATATATATATATATATATATATATATATATATATATATATATATATATATATATATATATATATATATATATATATATATATATTCTCCATGGGGAAGTGAAACAAAATTCTTCCTCCGTAAGCCATGTGTGTCACAAGAGGCGAAGTATCTGTGGAGACAATGTTATCCATGGAAGAAAGAAAGGAATGTACAAGAGTTTAGTTGTACCAACACTCTTATACAGGTGTGAAGCATGGGTTGTAAATGCTGCGGCGAGGAGGCGGCTGGAGGCAGTGGAGATGTGTCGAGGGGCAATGTGTGGTGTAAATATTATGCAGAGAATTCGTAGTGTGGAAATTAGGAGCAGGTGTGGAGTTAATAAAAGTATTAGTCAGTGGGCTGAAGAGGGGTTGTTAAGGTGGTTTAGTCATTTAGAGAGAATGGAACAAAATAGAATGACTTGGAGAGCGTATAAATCTGTAGGAGAAGGAAGGAGGGGTAGGGGCCGTCCACAAAAAGGTTGAAGGGAGGGGGTAAGAGGTTTTGTGGGCGAGTTGCTTGGACTTCCAGCAAGTATGCCTGAGCGTGTTAGATAGGAGTGAATGGAGTCGAATGGTTTTGGGACCTGACGAGCTGTTGGAGTATGAGCAGGGTAATATTTTGTGAAGGGATTCAGGGAAACCGGTTAGCCGGACTTGAGTTCTGGAAATGGGAAGTACAATGCTGACACTTTAAAGGAGGAGTTTGTGTCTGAGCGCCTCTGCAAAGACAGTGATTGTGTGAGTGATGGTGAAAGTGTTGAATGATGATGAATTTTTTTTCTTTCCTTTTGTTTGTTTCTTTTTGGGTCATCTTGCCTCTGTGGGAAACGGCAATATATATATATATATATATATATATATATATAATATATATATATATATATATATATATATATATATATATATATATATATATATATATATATATATATATATATATAATATGTCGTGCCGAATATGTAAAACTGGTCAATTAGCAAGAACTCATTTAAAATTAAGTCGTTTCTAAAATTTTCTCTTATACGTTTAAAGATATATTTTTTTCATTAATGTTGATGTAAAAAATTATAATTTTGCACCAAAAGGAACTTAGAAAACTTACCTAACCTTATTATAACAAGAACAATTTATTTTAGCCTAACCCAACTAAATATATTTTAGATTTGTTTACAGTAATTTAGTACTAAACAAACACAGTGAAATAATTTTTTTTCGTTAGGTTCAGAATGATTTTGGCGAAATTATTCCTACACAAATTTTCACTTGTCCTATATGGCAAGATGAGCGTTGCTATTTAAGCCAAGATTGCAAGTTCTGCCTATTCGGCACGACATATATATATATATATATATATATATATATATATATATATATATATATATATATATATATATATATATATATATATATATATATATATATATATATATATATATATATATATATATGTCGTGCCAAATATGTAAAACTGGTCAATTAGCAAGAACTCATTTAAAATTAAGTCCTTTCTAAAATTTTCTCTTATACGTTTAAAGATATATTTTTTTCATTAATGTTAATGTAAAAATTTTTAATTTTGCACCAAAAGAATCTTAGAAAACTTACCTAACCTTATTATAACAAGAACAATTTATTTTAGCCTAACCCAACTAAATATATTTTAGATTTGTTTACAATAATTTAATACTAAACAAACACATTGAAATATATTTTTTTCGTTAGGTTCAGAATGATTTTGGCGAAATTATTGCATACACAAATTTTCGCTTGTCCTATATGGCAAGATGAGCGTTGCTATTTAAGCCAAGATCGCAAGTTCTGCCTATTCGGCACGACATATATATATATATATATATATATATATATATATATATATATATATATATATATATATATATATATACAAACACTGATCTCTGGCTGAAGGAGACTCGAACCTACGAACCTTAGGACAAGGTACGCAGTGCTTTACCAATCTACCCACACTGGACCAATACCTTGGCGTGTAGCATCCGCTACACGTTTGATCCAAGGCAGCCAGCTTACAGCTTTTCATCTCATCCCCTGCACGCATCAGCATGCTCTCGCGAATTCCTTACATATATATATATATATATATATATATATATATATATATATATATATATATATATATATATATATATATATTATATATATATATATATAATATATATATATATATATATATATATATATATATATATATATATATATATATATATATATATATATATATATATATATATATATATTCAAATACACGCTGTACATAGGTACACACGTACATACATGCAATAAAAAGGGGTGTTACCTTAATAAGCATTTTGATCATAGAAAGAGATAAATTCTAATTCCTTTCAGGATATATTAATTACATTCTCAATCACATTCCCTGAGAATGTGATTACTACGCCAAGATCCCATGGAACATGCCTTGCGGTGTGGTCAAATGTCATGCGTATTACATGTTCGTATATACACTTGAATTCACACAATGAGTACAAGCTATACAAACTAGTCTTAACGACGAAGAGTAGATGTGATCACTACATAAAAATCCACCGAGACGTCAATAGGGAGGACATAGACAAACTGGTACGGGAAGGACCAGGACGCAAGGACAAGTGAAAGTAGGACACTCAGATGGGATAGAAGCAGGTCCCGTGACATGTGTTGGTAGCACAATCAGCTTACATACTGAGTGTCTATGATTCGATCCTCAGCCGGGTGGAAACGTTTAGCATGTTTTCTTCCACTTGCTGTCCTTGTTCACCCAGGTACTATACCTGGATGTTAGCCGACTGTTAAGTCGCATCCTGGGGGGGGGGTTAGTATACCTTAAGGTTCGGCTTTGAAATGAGCCTATAAAATTGACGTGCAAAAAAAAAAAAAAATTGGCGTTTTAATTTATTTTACAACTCAAGTATAAAACAAATTCCAACCACACAATAGAGCGATAAACTAATGTAAAAGACCTGAGTGATAATGTCAGAGGATCTCACTTTCAAAGCCCACAACATTGTATCAATCGCATCTGCTAGAAAAATGACAATGTATAATGAGACCCTTCAAAACTAGGGATGCCAAGCTCATGATGACACTCTTCAGGTCTTGTAGCTAGGTTGGAATATTGCTGCACACTAACAGCACCTTTCAAGGCAGGTGAAATTGCTGACCTAGATAATGTACAGAGAACCTTCACGGCGCGCATAACTGCAATAAAACACCTCAATTACTGGGAACGCTTGAAGTTCCTCATCCTGTACTCCATAGAACGCAGGCGGGAGAGATACATGTTTATATGCACTTTAAAATCTTAGAGGAATTAGTACTAAACTTGCACACAAAAATCACTCCCTATGAAAGCAAAAGACTCTGCAGACGATGCAACATCCCCCCCCCCCCCAATGAAAAGCAGGGGCGCCACTAGCACGATAAGAGAAACACAGTAAGTGTCAGGGGCCTAACACTGTTCAACTGGCTCTCAGTATACATAAGGGGATTACCAATAGACCCCTGGCTGTCTCCAAGAAGGCGCTGGACAGGCACCTAAAGTCAGTACCTGACCAGCCGGGCTGTGGTTCGTACGTCGGGTTGCGCGGCCATCAGTAACAGCCTGGTTGATCAAGCCCTGATCCATCATGAGGCCTGGTTACAGACGGGGGCGCTGACTCCCGAAACCCTCTTCAGGTATAGTCTAGATATAGAGGCTTACTTCAGACTTTGATTTAAAAATAGATATAACCGACCTTAACACAGCACACAAAGTTACTTCCAGTCTTATTTACCCTAATTGCCTGCGCTGTATGACCCTTGTAGGTTTAGTGCTTCTTTTTTATTATAATAATAATTACCCTAATTGCTTTAAATATAGTATCAATATAAATAGTACTTGTAATTACTAAGTGTATATTTTCAGTAATTATTTCAAGAAGCAAATAGTAGTAGTGGGCGGACAAATTATAATTAAAGTGAAGAGAGATTTGAGTAAATGTTTCTCCAACTTAGTGGTGAGCAGTGATGGCAGGAGGCGGTGTGGGAACATTGTTGTGGTGGCTGCTGTTAACTGGTACTATCATGGTGACTCTTGTCTGCTTGGCCGAGGTCGGTCAGGCTGCTCCACTCATCCTGACCAAGAAGTACAGTGAAGATACGCGCTGCATACGTGAGTACTTAACAAAACATGATGAACTAGGTATGGCACAAACGAACCCACATGAAAATAAAAGAGAAATTGGATACACAAAGTCCATCATTAGTACAAATTGTGGGGAGCCATAGGTTCGGAGTAGATAAAAAGGTTTCGAGGAGAAAAATATTTAGATTTCTCCCTGAGGCCGTTTGAATATTCCACTTACACCACCCCATCTTTTATAAATCCACAAATAGGTATATTTTATTATGAAATAATGATGGTGCATAAAGATGTACAAAGCTGTTGGAGTATATAAAACACAAGGTTTAAGAGATACATAGCAAGTACACGTGTTTTTGTCAAAAATTAATTCAAATATCTCATCCAGTTCCTCAGAGATGGGGCGCGTCCCCAAGAAACAACAGGCATTACCCCTTTAAACTGCAACACTGAGTCTCGGGAACAGAAAACTGGTTGCTCTGGGATTCTTAGTTGCTCTGATAACTCTTACCTAACTCCTTAAAGAACTTGGATGCACTCTTTCCTCATGAACCGAGAGCCTTTGAACCTATGGGAATAAACATGTAATAAGGGGCGAGTTCACCATATTTTCTAAACCTTTGGGACTACCTGAAGCTGGCAGCTGCCACTTCCTTCCTCGACCACACACTGAAACCTTTTTCTGTTTGCTGAAAGTGCCTCCGTGTGAGGCCCAAATTTACAATACGTATATTTTCCGTTTTATTTTCTTCATTTGGCTTTTCATGTGCTATTTACCAGTATGCATTTCACTTTTTGGGGAAATAACTAGAAATATTTCTGCTGTTCTGTTCGATCGCGAGTTGTTCCTTGGGGCCCCAGGACAGAGCTCTCAACAGTGAATTCAAATTAAATAAATTCAGATTTAAAAAGTATAATGGAAAGTATTACTTTGTCAATAGAGTTGTAGATGAGGAGAGCAAAAGGCAAAGTAGTGCTGTGGAAGCAAACACTCTGGAAAGCTTAATAAACAGACACAATAATACACGGGAATATTTGGAGTGTATGAACTGTCAGGTATGGACCAGTAGGTTTAGGCCTGCTATGTTCTGCATTGAAGATCAATGTTCTGCATACGATTATGAAATAGGGGAAATGTATGTTGTTAATGTCACTGAAGTATTTTTTTTTTCTGATATTTCATTTCTGTGGTAAGACAGCATTGGCATGTTTTTAGGACCGGACCTACTTAATAGTTCAAATACATCCTAAAGCTTCAGTATATGAGGAGTCTCGAAAATTTTTGACTCCCTTATTTTTCTATTACCCATGTCGACGCTAGAAATTAAGCTCAAACGTGACTTATTTTATTGTCTCAAAGGGTCAAAGCACAACCCTTTATGCTGAGGTGTGCTCTTCACGCATCTCAAAACCTTCATGCTGGTTAGGGGATCTTGATTTAAAGAACTGAACTTAGCCGTCCCTTCCTTGGATCGAACCTCAATTTTTCCTAGACGCTGTATAACCCTTACGGGCTTAGCGCTTCCCCGTGATTATAAATGGAAATTACTATTCACGCGAAATTATGCCAAAGAACTTCTCTGATAAATAATTATGCAAAAAAACAATAATAATAATAATAATAATAATAATAATTTTACTAATAAATCATTATTAACATTATTAGTCGTTCGACAGAGAGCCTATCCAAAAAAAAGAATAGCTTTTTTAGTGTGGTAATCATAATACTTATTCCTGCAGTGTGCGGACCTGGAGGTTGTCCTACCTGCTACCTGCCTGACGCTAATGGTGTTTGTCGACCCATCTTTGGCTGCCAGTCTTACCATGTAGGTTCCTTGACGCTGGTGAGCGGTTCTTCAGCTAATGAACTGGACCTGAACCCAGTTTCTCCGGATCGAACCTAATTGTCTGGCATTTTCCCAGGCGCTGTATAACCCATATGAATTTAGCGTTTCTTCCCTGAACGTAATAACAATTTGGCTGACAGACATAAAGTATGGCTCATTTGCATTATCTGTGCATTTGTTTCCTGCTATTTTTATAAACACCTACATATCAGTTATATTTTTGTTTGCGAGTTCGGAGAACTCGGCAGTTTTCTTATTTTATTTTCATACAGGCAACGTATGCAAACCCAGGCACACGTTCATTTCTTGTGCAAATTATTATAATTAGGAGATATTAGCCACACCCATAAACTTTTTCGAGAGGAAGATGGTATTTAATTCATTGCGCGCCGAATACATCAGCACTACCAGACAGACATTCCACTAATAAACTGTTCATGAACAAATTAGGCAGCATTAATGTTTACCAAGTGTAAATTATGTGAATTAACGTTTAATGGCATAATTCACAAGTAGTGTGATCAAGACAGTATGGAATGCTTCTTGCATCAACAATATAACCTAACCTTAGTTACCCAACTAACCTAACTTGTTTTAGTTTGCTCCCCCCCCCATCCTTAAAAAAAATGTCTATGTAAAGCCTAGTTAATGTTATGCACTGTAAACTATAAATCATCATCCAATTCCTCTGAGCAGCTAAAGCAAATATTGATTTACATTAATAACATATTGCTTACTTGATCTGGATATGTAAATACAATATGATGTTACATGGGAAGATGCTTAATGCTGGTTTGGATTTACTGATTAAATTACACAATTAAAGGTCTATATTTGTTTTTGTCAATATTTTGTTCATATAAATATTTGCCGTGCTTGTTGTTTGCCATAGGAACGAAACTGGAAAATAAACTTAAGCCATGAGGAAATATTAATTTCATCTAATTACTCGGGGGTCCAAATATGTAGTCTTTGTAAAAGCACACTTTAAGCTAAGCTTTTTTCTTTTTTAAATGTCTATCCATGTCACCTACATTTCAGGAAGCTGATAGATAATAGCTCTATGTTTACTGAAGCTATATGGGTATAAAGTTTTTTTTTCTGTTCTGCTCTTGAAATCCATTAGGTTCCTGTAAACAGAAATATTCTAATGCATTAAAGACTGCTAATGCACACCTACATTATTACACTGGTAATACGTATATATGTAGGTATATAATTTGGCAGAACTAAATTAATTGTTTTCACTGTGGATTTAAGCTTATATGGGAAATATAAGAGTACTTTCAAAACAGAAACCAGATCTTCGAATTCTAAGGTATAGAACTGTCATAATAATCTCTGGACTTCGTGAGGCTATAATTAAGTACTACACATGAAAACATCAACATCATATAAAGGAAGTATTAATTCTTTAGTAAATTTCGACTCGAACAAGTTGTGGCCTTTCGAACATTTTCTGAATTTCAGCCCTTCAAGGCTTGTGGAAAATTTTGGATTTTCCTAAATTCAGCATGGGGAAATTTGAATACAATAATTGTGTAATATGTGATGCTGATTTGACCCTTTCGAGAAATTTCGAGTGAGGGGGAGTATACCTGGAGAGAGTTAGGGAGTCAACGCCCCCGTGGCCCGGTCTGTGACCAGGCCTCATGGTGGATCAGGGCCTGATCAACCAGGCTGTTACTGCTGGCCGCACGTAATCCAACATATGAACCACAGCCCGGCTGGTCAGGTACTGACTTTAGGTACCTGTCCAGTGCCTGCTTGAAGACAGCCAGAGGTCTATTGGTAATCCCCCTGATGTATGCTGGGAGGCAGTTGAACAGCCTTGGGCCCCTGACACTTATTGTGTTGTCTCTTATCGTGCTAGTGGCGCCCCTGCTTTTCATTGGGGGGATGTTGCACCGTCTGCCAAGTCTGTTACTTTCATAGGGAGTGATTTTCGTGTGCAAGTTTGGTACTAGTCCCACTTAGCAGAATAACAGCTAAGTGACACAAGGGAAGAGACACAGTATTGAATTTAATGTGTGAAAACTGGTTCTTTAGTTATACAATGTAATTCGGTGTCCTCTGAGGCCAGTTTTGGGTGTTTTGGCCTGAATTTCTAAAAGGAGCAAATGTTAATGTCCCCTGCTGAAGAATTAGGACAGGAATTTTATGGGACCTCAAGAATTACGTGTGGAGGACGGAAAAATAGAGGACTTCAACGAATTCTTCACAACACACCTTAGCTAAGCGACACATACCCATAATGTAAAGTAGTTTTTGCATTGGCCATCGTAAATCCTAGCTGTTAGGGTATAGTGAGGGTGTGCTCCATCAGCATTGTTTTCTAGTAATTAAATAATAAGTATTAATAAGAATTTCCTTTCTAATAGCACTATTAATTTATATATAATAATTATATTCTGTGTCCCCAGCAAGCCTAATCATATACAATCTATGTAATTTTAATTTTACCAGAGTAGCTGGTTTTTAATTTTACAATTATTAATTTAATGTCAGGTCTAGCTTTTTGTGAGTGGTGAGGAAGTGGGCATTCATAAGAACATAAGAAAGGAGGAACACTGCAGGAGGCCTGTTGGCCCATACTAGGCAGGTCCTTTACAATTCATCCCACTAACAAAACATTTGCCCAACCCAATTTTCAATGCTACCCAAGAAATAAGCTCTGATGTGAAAGTCCCACTCAAATCCAACCCGTCCCACTCATGTACTTATCAAGCCTAAATTTGAAACTACCCAAAGTCCCAGCCTCAATAACCCAACTAGGTAGACTGTTCCACTCATCAATTACCCTATTTCCAAACCAATACTTTCCTATGTCCTTTCTAAATCTAAACTTATCTAATTTAAATCCATTACTGCGGGTTCTCTCTTGGAGAGAGATCCTCAAGACCTTATTAATATCCCCTTTATTAATACCTATCTTCCACTTATACACTTCGATCAGGTCTCCCCTCATTCTTCGTCTAACAAGTGAATGTAACTTAAGAGTCTTCAATCTTTCTTCATAAGGAAGATTTCTAATGCTATGTATTAATTTAGTCATCCTACGCTGAATGTTTTCTAACGAATTTATGTCCATTCTGTAATATGGAGACCAGAACTGAGCTGCATAATCTAGGTGAGGCCTTACTAATGATGTATAAAGCTGCAGTATGACCTCTGTACTTCTGTTGCTTACACTTCTTGATATAAATCCCAGTAATCTATTTGCCTTATTACGTACGCTTAGGCATTGCTGTCTTGGTTTAAGGTTGCTGCTCACCATAACCCCCAAGTCCTTTTCGCAATCTGTATGGCTAAGTTCTACATCATTTAACTTATAAGTACTAGGGTTATGGGCACTCCCAAGCTTCAGAACCTTGCATTTATCTACATTGAACTGCATCTGCCACTTTTCTGACCAAGAATAGAGTTTGTTTAAATCCTCCTGAAGTTCCATAACATCTACGTTTGAATCAATTATCCTACCTATCTTTGTGTCATCGGCGAATTTGCTCATATCACTAGTAATTCCCTCATCAAGATCATTGATATATATTATAAACAACAACGGGCCCAAGACTGATCCCTGTGGAACGCCACTTGTTACAGATCCCCACTCGGATTTAACCCCAATTATGGACACTCTCTGCTTCCTGTCAGTGAGCCATGACTCGATCCACGAGAGCACTTTTCCCCCAATGCCATGAGCTGCCACTTTCTTTAACAGTCTATGGTGCGGAACTCTATCAAAAGCCTTACTAAAATCTAAGTAAATAATATCAAATTCTTTATCGTGGTCAACAGCCTCAAAAGCTTTACTGAAGAAAGTTAATAAATTAGTTAGACAAGACCGGCCTCTTGTGAATCCATGCTGAGTATCATTAATCAAGCTATTCTTATCGAGATGGCTTCTTATAAACTCAGCTATAATTGACTCTAGTAATTTGCCTACAATTGAGGTCAGGAGTTGCAGTTCAGCAACTTACTGTGACTAAGTCCCACTTACCTCACCCATATTACTTGCAGGAAATAATTCAGGTGATGCCCTGTAAGTCTCCTGCAGGTGATTTGCTCACATAATACTAATAATTTCCAGAGAATTGCAACTACCCTCCATTTTCTTGGATTGAATATTTCTTCCCACTCCCCTTCTGATTCAACGATTCATGATAAAAAATAGATTAAGGATTTACGAGCTGAGTCAAGCCTGAGATACTCATTATGTATACTATCATATGGCAAGATTAGGCCGGGTAAAATTTCAGTTCACTCAATGATGAAACTTTAGATTATTTTGTAAAATTTATAAGCTGTAGTTATGCTCTCCATGGTAATACTATATCTGGAGTTTCTGGAGAGAGTTCCGGGGGTCAACGCCCCCGCGGCCCGGTCTGTGACCAGGCCTCCTTAGGTCAGTGTCCCAGGATGCGACCCACACCAGTCGACTAACACCCAGGTACCCATTTTACTGATGGGGAACATAGACAACAGGTGGAAAGAAACACGTCCAATGTTTCTACTCTGGCTGGGAATCGAACCCAGGCCCTCACCGTGTGAAGCGAGAGCGTTAACCACCAGGCCACCAGAGCCCTATAGATAAATTTTGTGTCAATAGAATAATTATATAAATAATATTGACATTAATTTTTTATGTATTATGTGAGGCAACATACTAAATTTAGGTAGTTCTTCAGTTTCATAATCAGAAGGAAATAAAAACACATATTGATCAAAACTAACTTAGAATAGTTTATTAATACTCTTTATCTTATAGTTGATTAAAATACGTATTTATTTTTATTATTTACATATCTGTATTGTTCCACTTCATGTAGGCCAGAAGTGAGCAACATATATTTATATGTAGCCACAGGTGTGGCGAAAATATCCAATAGTTATAATTATAACTATAATTTTTAAAGGGTGGACCGGTAAGCCAGTGGAAGGCCTCGGTCAGATGATCAGAAGCTCCAGCTGCGGGTCATCATATGACTAGGACCCACGTCAGGAAACTTTTCCTTTTTCCTGACGAACCTACCAAAGATGTGGCGAATAAGTAAAATTTGCCACACCATGCACAAATTGAGAAACTGGGTTGCTGAATTGAAAATTTATGTAACTTTTATGTACATATACATGTATAAATGCATACTTGTGTATGTGTATTATATATACATGTATGCATGTGCATATATGTCCGTCATCATTACTAATATTAACATCATTACCGCCATCACCACCACCAGTACCACTGTTATGTGCATAGTGTATATATGTGAATTTATAACCAATAATGATTTAAGTTTATCACACAGAGATACCTGAAATTATGATGCCGATCAAAAGAGGATCTTTTTATCGGCATCCTAAGTCAAATGCTCTACGAACCTCTGTCTAGTAACGGTTGACCAGGGTTTGAAATCTGAAGCCGATTGAATAAGGCATTCTGAAATTATGAACGAAAGCTTTAAGTGGTATGAGGAAGCTGTAGCTAACAGATGGACGGCTCTGGCATCATGCCATGCGGTATTTATAGGATCATTCAACTCGAAAAATTTAAAAACACTATAAAAGGGTGAGTTTTCAATATTTCTTGAATTTTTTTTTTTTGCATTTTAAAAGATCTATAATCCTCTAAAATAGATTCTGTTTTTAACATTGCCCAATTAATGACAGCTTTAATGATTCAAAGTTTAAAAATGTATATTACTTTGACAAATTTGTCCATAGTCAAATTAAGCAGGATGTGTACTATCCTGGGTATAAGATGCATCAGGCATTAATTACTAAAGCTATTTAGAAAAGGCTTCAGTAAATGAAAGTCAAAATTTCACACAATTTTACACAAAATTTTAAAATCTGCACCTAGCCACTTGAATTTCACTCTCTGTTATTGTCAACTTAGAAGACACTTTTTACATTCAGTGATGGCATGGCTGTCAGATATATTACACTGAAGATATACGAAAATATGCAAAACTGATATTTTAAATGAAAAAAAAAGAAAAAAGTTGAATACCGTATTACTGTTGCCAGTCCTAGAATAAGCACAGTGGTTTCATTTTATCATTACACATCCACTTTGTGTGACAAATTTGACTTCATATATCTTTTTTGACACGAAATATCCATTTCCATGTAACCGCCCAGCATTATTAAAGTAGGCAGCATTTCAACTCACGTCAGCAAGAACTCCCTGAGGGTAGTGTCCTGGAGATGACAATGGTGTCGGTGCGAGTGATTAAGCCACTATGAGGTGAAATGTTCCTTCCACCAAAACAGCAAGTGTTCATACACACTGCGTATAATTTTGACCAGGCAGCTGTGGCAAAAGAAGAAGATAAATTTGAAAATATAGATACGCTTTGGCTATCAACTACTTGACTTTTACATTTATTTGTCTGACCTACCACATCTTTCCAGCTTTCTTGAAATTCCTCCTTGACTAATTACAGTTAACAATGATGTATTATAAAGAATAGATACCATAAAGACATTTAAGAAGAATACACCCAAAATGTTGGTGGTTGTGTCTATAAGAGCCTTTGTACAAAATGCAGTAAATTTTATGTATGACTGAAAAAATTAGCTAAGATTTTAAACAACACAAATGAAACATTACATTTGGTCATGATTTTGATTCCCAGTTTACTCATGTAAGAAATTTTAAGCATAATACTGACTGGCTAACATCTAAGAAAGCTAATACATGCAAATTATTATTTCTTGAAAATTGGCCTTAATTTTCATCTGAACATCAATATAAGACTATAAACTAAACACACATTTTTAATTTAATTTGTGATAGTTTTAATCTGTGTTAAGTCAAGTTACTCTTGACCTGACTTATCATGGTAAAATCCTTCTGATGGATGCAAGGCAATATTTTATTTTTGTCGAGTTAATGGCGTCATCCTCCTCGTCACCTTCTATTCGTATAGCAAATATTATTTGTGGGTTAAACGTGTTGGCAGTAACAGCACGCCAAAGGATTAAATTCTGGATGCTATAGGAAAGTCCAGTTTATTAAAAATCCCTCTCCCTCTCCCTGTTTATTAATTTATCAAGTGAAAGAGTGACAAAGGTCATTACACTACACCTTTGTTAATCAAGATCACACCGGTGGACCAAGCCGGTGTCATCTTGTAAACAAATAAGAAATTTACAATAAAAAAACTGGTAGCACTTCTGATAATTTAATTCCAGATTTTTATTTGTCAAAATCAAAATATCTGAACCAACGGTATTGGTAATCCTATATGAACTTTGCTCGTACGCCATGAGATAACGATGGTACCATAATAGGTCTATAGATGTGCCCAAAATATAAATTGCTCCTCTTCGCACGTTCAAGGAGAGGGATAAGTTTGTGTCTGCGGTGAATTATTACCATGCTGATATCACTCATGGAATCTATAAAGGGTGCATTAATTTTTCACTGTATGGTCATTAAAGCTATGTCACCTATACACCACCAACCAATAATACTTTCATCCTAAAATAGGGATTAAGATAAACTCCTAACATGTATACACCTCTATATCTATCTATCTATCTATTATATATATATATATATATATATATATATATATATATATATATATATATATATATATATATATATATATATATATATATATATATATATATGTCGTGCCGAATATGTAAAACTGGTCAATTAGCAAGAACTCATTTAAAATTAAGTCCTTTCTAAAATTTTCTCTTATATGTTTAAAGATATATTTTTTTCATTAATGTTAATGTAAAAAAAATTAATTTTGCTCCAAAAGAATCTTAGAAAACTTACCTAACCTTATTATAACAAGAACAATTTATTTTAGCCTAACCCAACTAAATATATTTTAGATTTGTTTACAATAATTTAATACTAAACAAACACAGCTAAATATATTTTTTTCGTTAGGTTCAGAATGATTTTGGCGAAATTATTGCATACACAAATTTTCGCTTGTCCTATATGGCAAGATGAGCGTTGCTATTTAAGCCAAGATCGCAAGGTCTGCCTAGTCGGCACGACATATATATATATATATATATATATATATATAATATATATATATATATATATGTCGTGCCGAATAGGCAGAACTTGCGATCTTGGCTTAAATAGCAACGCTCATCTTGCCATATAAGACAAGTGAAAATTTGTGTATGCAATAATTTCGCCAAAATCATTCTGAACCTAACGAAAAAAATATATTTGATTGTGCTTGTTTAGTACTAAATTATTGTAAACGTATTTAAAATATATTTAGTTGTGTTAGGCTAAAATAAATTGCACTTGTTATAATAAGGTTAGGTAAGTTTTCTAAGATTCTTTTGGTGCAAAATTAAAATTTTTTACATTAACATTAATGAAAAAAAATATATCTTTAAACGTATAAGAGAAAATTTTAGAAAAGACTTTATTTTAAATGAGTTCTTGCTAATTGACCAGTTTTACATATTCGGCACGACATATATATATATATATATAATATATATATATATATATATATATATATATATATATATATATATATATATATATATATATATATTATATATATGTCGTGCCTAATAGGTAAAACTGGTCAATTAGCAAGAACTCATTTAAAATTAAGTCCTTTCTAAAATTTTATCTTATACGTTTAAATATATATTTTTTTCATTAATGTTAATGTAAAAATTTGTAATTTTGCACCAAAGAATCTTAGAAAACTTACCTAACCTTATTATAACGAGCGCAATTTAATTTAGCTTAATCCAACTAAATATATTTTTAGATATATTTACAATAATTTAATATTAAACAAACACAATGAAATATATTTTTTCCGTTATGTTCAGAATGATTTTTGCGAAATTATTGCATACACAAATTTTCACTTGTCCTATATGGCAAGATGAGCGTTGCTATTTAAGCCAAGATCGCAAGTTTTACAAATTCGGCACGACATATATGCGTCGAAACATTGCTCCTGGCCCCGATATATGTTCATATATGTGTGTATTTATATGCACTTTCAGTATATATACATATTGTTTCACTTTCGTCATAAAATCCCATACTTGTAGGTAAACAATGGTTATTCGCAATAATATTTTAAGTTCAAAATCAATTTACTTGCATTTACTGTAATACACATGAAGAAGACTGTATCTAAAGAACTAAAACTGAATTGTTTCAGGCAGTATGTAACATGTGAAGAGATATGGAGTAGTTATCAGTAGGCCTATTTATAATGTGTAGTGTTAAATATGCCTGAAACACTATATAGTTTGATGAGTATATCCCTCCTAATAAATACGCATTGAGAGCAATATTGCATATACGAGTGTACTTGGAGGAGAGAACAGGTTACACGAAGCCTTAATGACCCCTTAGTAAGTTTAAAACCAAATAAACCAACCAGTTGATTCTTAAAACTAAACACTACCGTCATAATCCAGGTGGGTTTAGCGTTTTTGTGATAATAATAATAATAATAATAATAATAATAATAATAATAATAATAATAATAATAATAATAATAAACAGATTCACGAAATCGTAATAACAAGACTGCAAAAAAAAAAAAAAAACATGGAACGGGTGGGGCTTGAACCCATGGCAAACGAGACCTAAAACTCACAGGCCAATGCGTTAACCACTCAGCCAGCTGGCTACTGTTGATACACTAGCCAGTGAGTTTTAAAACACTTGCCACTCGTTCCGTATTTTAATATTATATACTACTACTAATAAGAGTAATAATAATAATACAGCGTATGGACACTGGGGTAGGAGAGTTCAGTTTGCTCTGATGCCACTCTGAACATTTGTTATACTCTCTTTACCTTGAGAATTTTTCACCTCCCTAACGGGAAAGTGCTGCCTTGCTTCTCTTACTGGAGAAGTCCGTCTTTCCTCTCTTACAGGGAAGTTCTGTCTTTCCTCTCTTACAGGAAGGGTCAGTCTTTTCACCACTCTCACTGATGGTGTATATCCAAACTGCTTTCCCATTGTTATAGGACAAAGACTGTGTCTTGTGTCTCACCCTCTTGATACTCCAGCACCGACGGGTTGACATGGGTCCCAGTGATCCTCAAGGTCTGGTTCTACTCAAGTATTTGACGAATTTAGTATCCAGGATTCACTATTATTTCCATTTTTCCAAGTAGTTATACGAAGAAAAACCTGCTATACTTGCGTGACTAATTAATATAATAACACGGGAACAACACAGTGTATATGAGGTTTTCGGCAGTAAGCTGCACCCCAGCAAAAGAATGATCTATAAACACGCTCGAGTGCTAGACTGTGACGTTCAGTCACGTGATTACTGTACACACTAAAATATATGTATATGTGCACACACATCTATTCAACATTTTAATAAAATACAGATATATAAATGTTAAAACGTGGCTAAGCCAAAATAATTAGGGGAGACTAAAGAAGAAAAAAATAATGTTGAAAATACTTAGCGCCTCTCCCACTTGTGTAGTACAGTATATTGATCAGGCACACAAAGCCATGAATACTGTCGACTTCAGTCTTCCAGCAGCGCCTGAGTTTTCTATGACGGCCAGAACATAGCAAATACTACGAGAACAATAAATTACTCAGGTATACGATACAGAGGAGGCTGACGATGTCATTTTGGAAATACCAAAGTTCTAACGAAGGAACATTATTAGTTTTCACTATCATTAGTATTCATTATTATTATTATTATTATTAGTGTTCTGCAAATACTATATTTATTACAACTATAACAGATAATATGTACATATAAATCATAAGTTAGGTTCATTTGGTTGTGAGTTAAACACTACTACAAGTATCATGGTGATAAAGATCTTAAGTCTTGCGTTACTTAAGGGAGGTTCCTTGACGCTGGTGAGGGGCTCTTGATCTAGGGAACTGGATCTGTGCTCCAGTTCCCTGAATTGAGCCTGAGTACCTTCCACCCCCCCCCCCACACACGCGCTGTATAATCCCCCAAACTTTCAGCAAATTTGTAGACATTACTCGGCCGCCATTTTTTTTTGAGAAATTATAATTTTTCATAATATAATCACGCCTTCATGTATTTTAGTCCTACACAATCAAGTCAGAATTCCTCAGTGATTTCATGTAGATGTAAGTAAGTAAGTAAGTTTATTCAGGTATACACAAATACAGTTACATAAAATTATCGTACATAGCAGCATATGTAACAAAAAGGCACAATACCGTGACTGGAACGATACACAAATAACCCGCACATAAAAGACAGAAGCTTACGACGACGTTTCGGTCCGAAACGTCGTCGTAAGCTTCTGTCTTTTATGTGCGGGTTATTTGTGTATAGCAGCATATGTGCAGAGAACCTAGGATAACCCAAAAAAGTCAGACAGAGTGACTTATTTCCATTGGGGTCCTTTTACCTTATTATAATATAAAGGTTAATTTCTGTTGTATCATTTTCATAGCTACCAGACAGTCCGTAGCTATATAGTGACTACGGTGATCTCACATAGTTCTGTTGCGCTCGATTTCCAAAGATGGTTAATTATGACATCAGAGTAGACAAGGACACAAATACAATGTACAATGCGACTCCTTAATGACGATGTTTCGCCCACACAGTGGGCTTTATCAAGTCACTAACCTCTGCCATTCCCTAGGTGGATTTTCAACGAATAGTTGTTTTATACTGCGTTTTTATCGTCATCCATCCTGTCAGCATTTTATATCATTTCTCACCATCACACCAAAATATTGACCAATAGAAAAAATCCTGAAATCAAGGCTTAGTGATGGTAATATAACCTAGTATCAACACATGTAAATTTTATTCTTATCAAAAGCAATAAAATATGCCTAGTAGGATACATACGAAATATCTACCTTCTTGTGCATATTTTTTATATAAATTTTGACACAACATTACTACTGTATATATTTTACCAGTTTAAAGAGGATGGCTGTCTTGTTATATTTCAGCACCAGTACCTGGAATGGTATTTACATAACATTATTATTATTATTATCATTATTATTATCAAAAAGAAGCGCTAAACCTTATATAACATTGCAGGTTCTGAGATAATGAATTCTCTTAACATAATGATGGAAATAAGTCACTCCGTCTGACTTTTTGGGTTTTCCTAGGTAATTTACTCATATATTACTATGTATGATAATTGTAATCGCCTAAATTTGTGTAACTACTAAAGTGTGCCTAACAATGTTTTATTACCTGTAAACTACATTACCCTTGTACAGCATAAAAAGAAATAAATTATTAGTACAACAAATTGAGGGTAAATGTACGAAGATCCTAGGGAGGTTTTGTTTGAGGTGTTTGCAAGCAGCGGGTAATATGAGTACAATGACAGTGACTCCTAACCTAATTAAGAACATTGTATTCTTGTAGGGAACTTCGTTTCGCTTCTAATTTCCGCCCTGATTTGAACAATATATTTTTCCCTGACTCCCAAGAATCAGGGTTCAACACGACACAAGCTGGAATGGCTATCAAAAACCCCAACAGTAAAAGTGAATCATGTGTCAACCTTCAGACTTAGTAATCTGACCTGTGACCTTATAGCAGACGAATGAGTTATACAAGCAAGCCAGGATTCATATAACCTTTAGCGACTATACAAGCAGGTCAGGATTCCTGTATAACCTTTAACAATCACTCTTCTACGCCTTATGAAGGTCAGTGCACAGAGTATTCTTAGCAGTCATGGGATGTGTCGGCAGCGGCTCATGTATCATTAGTGGCATGTTTTACCAGCTTAGGCTAAAGTTAAGGAACACCTTGCAGATGAAGATTAACATTGGGAGGAGAGGGACTTTTTTGCATTACTAATGCATCCCAATAGAAATAAGTCATCTTGACTTTTTGGGGTTATCCTAGGTTCTCTACACATATGTTGCTATGTATGATTATCTGTGTAATTGTATTTGTGTATATCTGAATACTTACTAGCACGAAAAGTTGGCAGTGGAATAGTGAACGTGGTGCACATGAAACTTGTATCTCAGATTTGATTTGTAATAAATAATGTTACAATCTGTGTATGACATTTATATTATAGTAGCTGTATCAACTATTATATTAAGTAAGGTACACATAAATACAGTTACATAAATTATCATCCATAGCAGCATATGTGTTGATTACCTAGAATAACCCCAAAAAAAAGTCAAAGTGACTTATTTCCTTGGGGTCCATGTGATAACTGTTGTTTAAATTTTTAAAGTTAAAACAGATAAGTAATTTAGCTGTGAAGAGTAGTTATATAATAAAGGGAAAGCAAATTTAGTTATTTAAATTTAAAGGTTAAAAACAGGTAAGTAATTTAACTATGTGAAAAGTAGTTACAATAAAAGGAGATGTACTAAGGGCAAAGTAAAATCAGTTTTGTACATTAATATTAAAGATAGGATCAGATTACAGTACATATATGTTAACTATTTTTGTCATTGTTATGAGCAGTCTGAATGTTAGCAGTATAGTATATCAAGAATGGTCTTTAATGACTTCAGAAGTTTGTAAGAATTGACTTCATTTGAGGAATTTTAGGGATGTTCTTGTTTAAGTACTCATAATGTTGGTATTGCATACAATTTTCGTCTGTAATTAGTGTGTTAGGTTTAAACCCCATCAACTGCACATGAGTCATTATCTTGTCACTAGCATGTTAAGAGACAACACAATAAGTGTCACGGGCCCAAGACTGTTCAACTGCCTCCCAGCATACATAAGGGGGATTACCAATAGACCCCTGGCTGTCTTCAAGCAGGCATTGGACAAGCACCTAAAGTTGGTACCTGACCAGCCGGGCTGTGGCTTGTACATTGGATTGCGTGCAGCCAGCAGTAACAGCCTGGTTGATCAGGCTCTGATCCACCATGAGGCCTGGTCACAGACTGGGCCGTGGGGGCGTTGGCCCCTGGAACTCTCTCCAGGTAAACTCCAGGTATTATCTAAAACAAGTATTGAAGTACATATATGTAACTCACTTGGGGTTTATTACCAAGATATGTATATCTCGGCGTATATACATACATACGCGCATGCATACATACATACATACTCGACCCCCGCAACCTCAACTAGGTGAGTACATACATACATACATACATACATAGCTTTAAGATGAGGTATGATAAAGCTCATGGAGCAGGGAGAGAGAGAACCTGGTAGTGCTCAGTGAAGAGGCAGGGCCAGGAGCTGAGTCTTGACCCCTGCAACCACAATTAGGGGAGTACATTTACATATGTTATGACACCTTAAACCAATTAGCTAAAGATGCCTCAAAATGCTAGGTAGCCTACTTACAAGCCATGTTTCTTTCTAGCTCTGGGCCCACTAGTGAGCCTCATTCTCCTCCTGTATGTTGTAGCTTCACTTGCAATAATATGTCGATGCACCTCGCAGAAACAAGCGAAAGTACATACACAAAGATCGCAGTAGGATTTTTCTTTTTCAGGCCACCCTTCCTCGGTGGGAGACAGCCAGTGTGTTAAAAGATATTATTTATTTATTATTTTGAATTGTATCTCATAATTTATGCATTCAAAAATATAAAATTGTATTGTACAGTAATGCTTGAACTTTCTTAGGGGTTGGCTATGTTAATTAGTTGTAAAGACAAATTCAGTTAGTAGAAATTAAACATCTAAAATTTTTAACATATACGTATTAATTAACACATTGAACATGGTGTATAACATCATTAGAAAATTATCTGGAATGTTGTCAGGTCCTGTGATTTTGTTTCTGTTTAATTTATTTAGTACTTTTAGTATAAATTAAAAAGGCACATTTGGTAACATTTTTCTGGAGGTTATTTTGTTTTTTTTACTATAGTTAATTTTAAAAGCATCTGAGTCTGTTGTTGCTGTCTCGGTTATGGTCATTTCCAAGGGATTTTAATTGTTGGCAAAGATTTTTATGGTTCTTATTATGTTATCCAACTTTAATATTACCTGTTTTGTATTCACTTGGTGCTTTTTTATTTCTCTTTGTATGTCACTTTAATTTTTATCCTATTAATTCACTGAGTAATGGTTTGTCCTGTCTCTCTATTTTATGCATCTATAATATCTGGTGTCTATTCAAGCGGGTCCTATACCTCACTGGTCATACATGGTTCATTTCTCTTTTTATCTTAATTTTCTTTATTGGTGCAGTATCACTCTGTACTTTATTGAATAATTTCTTCCAGGTTTCATTTGTCTCTTTGTCATTTATTAATACTGTACAGATCAATCACTATTTTGTAATTTGCATATTAAGGTTTCTCTATTTGATGGGTGTATGCTGTCCTATTAAATATCCCATTTTTTTTTTAATACTGTAATTCATAAAATGGCTATTTAGACCAATATTTTCATAAATTACAGACTATAACTGTATCTAATATGATGGCTAACAATTATGTATCTAGTATTATTATTTCAAAGTTGGACCCAGTTCTTTCTTTATGGGTCACCCTGCCTCGGTGAGAAACGGCTGAGATGCTAAAAAAAAAAAAAAGTACTAGCATAGTATTCTAAAAACTGACTATCAGTAGGTGTATAGTAGACATTTCCAATCAAAATGAGTTTAGTTTTAGTCAACATCAATCAAATCACAAATTTTGGACCCAGCTCTTAAATGCCTCACAGTCATGGCTTTGTTGTTCTAATTCAGATCTGTATTACAATGTAGACAAGCTTTTATATCCCTTTTAGTAATTTAGTGTTTTTATTTGTTTTTTGACAGTTTCCACTGATATGCATTACAAACAAAATCAAAGCTAACATTGCTCACCACTAACTTTTAGTATTCTTCTTCACTTATGACAGCAGTACAAACCATACCACGGGTGGGGATAGAGAGTCTCAAAACTCCAGACCGCCGCGTTAGCCACTGGACCAGCTAGCCACAATAAGATTCGTCCAACTAGGTATATTTCTACACCATAGGAAGGTTAGCATAGGCACCACTGTGACCACAAATGCAAGTTTTTACAGACGAATCTCCAGCTAGCATGGCCGTGACGAACTCTAGCTCAAGCCCCCTCAAAGCCGTCAACATGACTCACGAAATCGTAATGGCACGGTTGCAAACAAATCATACCACGGGTGGGGATAGAACCCACGATCAGAGAGTCTCAAAACTCCAGACCGTCGCGTTAGCCACTGGACCAGCTAGCCACAATAAGATTCGTCCAACTAGGTATATTTCTACACCATAGGAAGGTTAGCATAGGCACCACTGTGACCACAAATGCAAATTTTTACAGACGAATCTCCAGCTAGCGTGGCCATGACGAACTCTAGCTCAAGTCCCCTCAAAGCTGTCAACATGACTCACGAAATCGTAATGACACGATTGCAAACAAACCAGTGGCTAACGCGACGGTCTGGAGTTTCGAGACTCCCTGATCACTGGTTATATCCCTGTCCGTGGTATGGTATGTTTGCAATCGTGTCATTACGATTTTGTGAGTCATGTTGAGAGCAGTACATTTTATGTGCATTCAGCCTTCTTGTAATTCACAATGACTTGATCTAGGTCAGTTACTCCAGACCCTCATAGAACACAAGGGCATTTTGGTTGCATTTATCCTTGTAGGACCCTGTTCTGCTTATCTTTTTCCATCTGTTTGTTTAGATATTTCCCTGCCTCTAAAGATAAAAACTAAACGTGTTTTGGTCACTGCATGATTGGAAAGTTATCCCCATATTTCATAAGCCCAGCTCCCTTTACCTTAATAAATACAAAAGGAATAATGCAGGGAAATCATCCAGTTCTAATGCAGCAAAATATAAAAAATATGTATGTGTGTGCATATGTATGTCATTTTGTTACCTAAGAAATGGTGTATTTGAGGGATTGTTTATGGAAAGGGAGTGAAGCTGCTACATACTGTACAGGAGAGGCCCTGTTTATACAGCAGGTTAGCTTCTGAGCTACTGCTATAAAGAAAAAATTGCTGTAGAGTGAATCTTGGCCTTATTTTCACTTTCAAATACAGCCTCTCCACACTTAGCGACATAATCGTTTACCAATGCCTCAGACTTATGACGGGCTCTTTGACCAGTATGTATACCTAAATAATGTATATTAGAGCTGATTTCCTCTATTCTGTTTAATACAATATACAGTACACTACTGTATAAACATTTAAAAATATACCAGAGATATTATAAATTTTTATTTCCATGCATAGTTTACGATGTGTAATTACAATATTGATTTGCTAAGTGCAGAGAAAGCCACTATCATGCCGAGGCATTTCGGGCTGACTGAACATAATGCTTTACAGACTACTTAATACTAGACATATATATCATAGTTGGTTCAAATTGAACATTTTTTTTTTTTGTATATCAACAGAGGTAGTAGTGGTTTAGCAGTAATTAAATTAACAAGTACTGTAGTTGAATAACAAGCTACAGTATTATATTTTAGCACATTATACATAATGAGATTGAGACCATTTTAGTTCTGAAATAATCTTATAAAGTTTGGCAATTATTGCATTGATGGTAGCGATAATATATAGTGTTTGTGTTGTTAGATTTGGGAGATGAGGTGATTTCTAAATAGAGCCTTGAACTGGTGCACAGGCAGGAGCCCTTTTTTATTTTCAGGCAATGAATTCCAGATCTAAGGGCCCTTTATATGCACTGCATTTTTGCATAGGGAGAGAGGGACA